TCATACTTTTAGTTACAAGTGCTCAGTACACTGTTTGTTATGTTTGTAACTTGTTGAAATGTTTCGTTGATTCTATTTGTTATTTGCTGTATAAATAAGTACAATAATAAATAGCCTAGCTATTGTTTCCATTTATTTATTATTACAAGACAACAATAGTCTACTATTCATAACACTAAGAACTATTGTTCCTATTGATTCAAGTGGCTATTATTCTTATTGGTTTACTTAGCTATTGTTTATTTTCATTATTGTTTCTATTGAACCTTCTGGCTATTGAACACCATTTTAAGTATATTTTATGAACAACCTATTATTGTATATAGACAATTGTTCATCCCCCTATTATTCTTTTTCATTGTTCTTGTCTATTATGCTTAGGACCTTATTGTCCCAAGTTTTAGTATATAAAGGCCCTTGCCTGAGACAAAAGAAATAATATACATATATTCATACTGATATTCATATACAATCACGTGCCATGTAAGAATCTTATTGTTTGTGTCCAGAATAACTGCAGGCTCTAAGATGACTAGCATTGGTCCTTGGCCATCGTGCTTACCATTCTTCTTTAGCACTCTCTTGTCTGTCACATAACAATCAACATGGACTTAGTAATGCGGCAAATCAATATGCATCCAATTGAAACAAGCAAAAATGACAAACTGGGATTCAAAGTGCACAGGCAACAACAGTGACAATATGGTCCAGCTTCACGGCATGGGGTGCAGATGTGAAATTCACATGTTAAGCCATAAGGGATTTTTCCTTTAATGCCTGCTGCTGGAGGCATGTTCTGCATGATCATAAGCAACACAAATGTAGATCATGGAATCAAACTGACCTTATTCATTCAATGTCAGGACTGGAGCAGTGTGCCTATGAGTATTATAAAAACAAGTAGCCTCCCTCAGCAACTAAAATAACCTCTTCCACAAAAATTCATCAAGTGTCAGTGCACTGCATTCACATCAGTAAAGAAAAGAAGGTAAGCCTGTCAGACTAAAATACCCCTTCATCATCTCAGCTGTTTTATGACCTTTTTCATCCGACAATCTATGCTCCTGTATGCAGCATGCCAACGACGTTTATGTGATTGAGGAAGACTATGTCAAAATCTTCCGCCTTGAAAAGCCATCAGACAATGAAAATAGGATTATAAAAAATTGCACAGTGCCAGCACATCATGCAAAGTTGTCACATGATCACGATTTTCCCAGAGTCATATGACCTCATAACTGCAGCACAAGGTTCCTTTATGTCAGAGTCTCTCCACTGAAACTAGAGAAAACATTGACCGATTCATCCACATAGTTTTCATATCGCATCACTACAGACATATTGAATGCAGACCGCAAAATTCATATCAAAAGCAAACCACAAAAATTGATACTGTACAAAGACAACATATTTAGGGAGAAAAAGAAAGCATACAATGACCACACATATTGTACAAAGGGTAAGTGATGGGCAAGAAACAGAAAGCATATGACAACAACTGATATCATACAAAGGGCAAGGAGTGGGTAACAAAGACATGGTATGATATGTCCTAAACTACTGCTGAATAACCTTCACCCAGGTGCCCTGGTTGAACTCCTTCAGAAGCCTGCCATTCTGCAGAGGCTGAAAGCTCCACTCAGCTTGACAATGCTTGCAGCGATAGCAATGAGTCTGGGGAGAAGTGTCCCTACGATCGAAGAAGATAAAAGTGCCTAAGCGAAAACAGGTGTCGCACTGCATTGGAACCTGATTGTCATAGGGGCTGATCCTGGGATGATCCCAGATGTACTCTGAGATGGTCAGCTTGTAGGACTCTGCCCGTGTTCGCTTACGCCTGGCCTTATCCAAATCACCAGTCGTCGCATCACCACCGCTGATGACACGATCCTGAGTGGTTCCTTCCAAGAGAATGACCCTGGAGTGCCTGCCCAATGGGCCTGAACTGGCGAGAAGTTCGCTCATCAGCAGGTCACCGACAGTGGCTCCTTCAATAAACACATGGCACACGAATCCAAAAAAGAAGGGGGCTGCACTGATAGAAGACAGCGCCGGTGCTGTGAATGCCAAAACCCGGGGGAGCTTGTAGCTAAATCGTGCATGTGTAAATTTAAATGCTAATATCGAGTGGAGGGTAATGGGAAGACCGTACCGTGTACAAACTGTGACCAAGTCTTCCCCAGGAGCTGCCTTTGACACCATGGAATCACAAGCCAGCAGCACAAATGTTGTCGGCACCTCTCGGGAGAGCACCATCAGGTCTTCACAGACAACAAATTTGAAGAACTGTGACGAATCAGTGAATGCAAGTTCCCATTGGTCATGAGAGACTTACAGTATCAATTGTGCCTACCCAGTGGCTGCTGTAAAACAAGTCACCGGTGTCATCGTGCGAGTATGTATAAATAAGAATTAGCATGTAGCTAGTGACACAGGAGAAGATCAGGATCAGCTCTGAGTCAATGTGAAAGGCAGATGACATATGATCAAATTTTCGACACTATGTCGAGCATATGAAGATGATGACCTTCTGTGGCCTCTGAGCCTTCCAAGTCAAAGACGACATCCAGCCGGTTTAGGAACTCTCTGTGGTCAATGTAATAGGCTCGAAGATACTCCTCCACAAGATTGGTGATGGTACCATACTCAGGCAGTGAGCGCAGGTGCAGATGAACCAAAACCAAAGATGAAGTATCCAACCTTGCAGTCTGTGATATCTCAGGCTTGCCGAGAATCCGAAGACCTTTCATCAATGGTACCCAAGGTTTTTCTGCAGATTGAACATGGACACTATACAGGCCCTGATAACCCTCAGACATCAGCTTCTGTGGGAGTAAAGAATGCATATAACCTACATGGTATACCTGCATCGCACCACCACCACGCTTTGTAGCGCAGGCCGGACATTCAAACCGCATCTGCTCAGTCATATTCCACTGCCGGAGATCTGGAATGCAATGCAAGCAAACAGCTCTGCCGCAGTTAGGACGGTCACAGTCGACCAAGTCTCTGCCTTGTTGGCAGAGAAAGCAATACTAGGTGCATTGAGTCAGCAAGACTCATATGTTGAAGAGAGAAAACACACCACATCAGAATTGGAGATGACATTGGAAACAACCGACACCGGGCTTGGCCGCTGAGAGACATGCAGGTCACCAGAGGCTTGTAAGATTCCAGGGGTTAATGTCATAAGAATAAAGATGCACTGCCGAAAATTCAACAATGCACCATTGTTGAGTGACCTACGTTCACCTGTCAGCAACCCCACAGACTTCTGTGCCATCTGGAAGATCTTGTAATGTTGACGCTTGGGTGTGCAAGCAGGAGGAGGCATAGTTGGATCGGAGGTGAGTGAGCCGTGTCACGTTCACCCACAGCAGCAGCAGCAGGATCAGGTATGAGTTAACTGCTTCGGCATCAAGGGGCATCCATTTTAGCAGCAGATGCACATCCTTTCAGCCTGCATATGACTCCACGAGATGGGCGGCTCTGAAAAACATGACAGGAACACTTCCCTCATCCTCATCCTCATCCTCATTGTCATCCTCGACCTCGACAACTGACACAGGTGCATAGCTTTGCAGCTGGTGGATTGTCTCCTCCAGTTTCTCATTGGTATTGTCCAATTCATCAGTCTCCTTCGATTCATCATTGGACAGAGGCAGGCTACCAGTATAATCATGATTTACTACAAACGTGTCACCTCTGTCCGAGTTGTCATATAGAATCTCCTCTTCATCGGCATCTTCATATGAACCTCTATGCACAAGGCTCCCCCTGTCATCTCTGCTTCCCCTCAACTGGAACTGCTTCTAATCATCCATGTCCATCATCTCATCCACACTCGGAGTCAATTGCGACATAGGCATCGGCGAATGCAGGGAAGAGTCTGTTATCAAAATATCAAATCCTCAAGTGGCTGAGCTTTGTTGCTGCATGTTGCCATGGACATGGAGTGTCAAAGCTCAGTTATTTGTGAGTGCCTTTGTATGGTAAGTGTTTCTCCTGTAGACAGTATTATGTCATATGTGTGCTGGCGCGCACTTTACTGACTTTATCTCATGGCTGGTCTTTGGCCAGTCATGGGGTACATGTGGGTTTTGGGGGATCACACCAGGCATGCGACAACGAGTTGCAGAGGGCTCCACATTGTGGAGGCGACTCACTCACGCCTCTCACCTGGTATATGGGAATTGGGAGATTTTGCACTTCGGTGCCAATGCTTCAGTATGCCTGCATCCAGGTGCATGCCTGCATCCAGGTGCATGCCTGCATCTAGGTGCATATGTGCTCTGCACATTACATTGTCACCGGCCATCAGCCTTGTGCTGTGTGAGTCGTGCATGGCCTCCACAAGGTCAGTGTTTTTTACTTCTTTGTTTCTTTTTGCATGATATAGTGTGAGTACAGGAAGTGTAAGGACGATGTGGTAAGCACTCCACAGTACTTCATACAGATACTGACCACTGTTCTTCAGCATATAGTAGGTTTTATGGCAGTGGTGAAGACCATGCCAAATCTTAGTAGATTGAAAGAACCAGTGAGTTTTTTTTCCTTGCACTTTGAAGAATACTGACCTCTTAATGTTTCCACAGCCTCTTACACATGTACTCAAAGTTGACAATGGTCACTGCAGTGTGAGCAATGCAGCGCATAAGATGAGCATTTTTGCATGAATGAGGGAGGGCCCACCCTCATCACAAGTCACCTCTTGTGTTTTCAATCTTTGTAGTTAGAAAAATTTGTAACACTTGAGTTTGTAACCATGAAGCATGAATAAGGCAAAGTCATACCAGTACGCTGGGCGATGCACAGGCACTTAAGTTACCTCTTGCTACAACAACAGCCAGGGCGAATGCAAAGGGATGGGACAGGCCCAAGGTTAACACTCAAGTATGTATGTTGACATGGTAATTTTTTTCAGTCTGCATCTTCTCACTTCCTGCATAGCAAATCGGCAACTGGTTTGCTATGCATTGAATCTCGGAATCATTCCCGGCATGACAGATCACAAGTTCTCTCTGACAGATGCTGAAAATACGGCCAAGGATGACGATCATCCCGATCCGACTGAAGGTGAAGCTGATCCTGCTGCTGTGGATGATAATGATGTAGAGCCATTCTCAGTGGCAGAAGATGCAGCTGATGTGCAAAAGAAGATGATGGGACAGAAGTGGTCTTTGTGAAAGACTGCACACTGGGCATGGCGAGAGGAGCTGTTGGAAAGGGTTGGCCAGGAGCCTCCTGATGCAGAGGAACAGTGGAGACAAAAATGGGAGGAAAGGTTCTCATCCTCCTGGCCTTGCCGACAGAGAAGCCCATGCAGATTTGGTGCACCAAGTAAGTCCCGGCCATTATTATTTGCATTATTTTATTCACCGCCATCCTAGGCTTCAGTCACCTGATACTGGTGGCTTTCTGAAGGTCACTGACTGTGTCGATAACTGGCAGAAAGATTTGTGGAAGAAGTGGGGACGGCATGGCCCAACGGATAATCAAAATCACAAAAAAGGGACGCACAAGGTGTGAATGTAAATACGATCATGTAAATGCATTATCATTTGTCAGGTATTTGAAGCCGATGAATAAATCAGTGAGCCATCAATTGGCCAGACGTGAAGTGAGTCCTCAGTGCAGATAATTTATTTTACCTCTACTGAACACCCTGAAGGCCCTAGAGGAAACCAGGGAGCTACGGCACATCACCACTGAGATCAAGAAGGCAATTGACATCTACGAAGGTGACAATCCAAGACAGGAAGCATGAGCATCAACATCAGCAACGACTCTAGATAAACAAGTATTCCAACTCGAGCACTACAGAGATCTCGCTGAAAGTGAGCAATGAATGTTATGAGTAAGTCATACTCATGGAATACAGAGCAATATGCACTAAGGATAATGATGCCAGGATGAAATCACACTCAACGATGTGCAGCACGAGATCAATGATAATGGCAATGCCATCATTCTTGCATTTGAGGAGACGTGGAAGCTGATTCAAAAGCATTGTTTGGTCCGGGCCATTGTGACTCACCAGCATGGTAAGCTTCATTCTCGAAAGTGAATATGTATCCATGCTGATGATATACATGCATTGATTCCAAGCGTGCCAAGTGCCCTTGGAAGAAGATCAGTAAAGATGTCCACAAGTACATTGATGAGGCATGTTGGCCGGACAGCATGGTCTTTGCAGAACCTTGGAACATCGGTGTTGACAACATCGATTTGCTCCTCAAGCACTGGGCGAATCAACAGGCTATTGGCTCAGTTGCTTTCCAATTTCTGGTAGCAGCTGGTGGAGGTGATGCCATGAAGCCCAGAGGAAAAAAGCAAAAAGATGTCACTGATATGAATGTTGGCAATTCAGCAGATGAAGGGGAACAGGATGACAATGATAATCAGAGTCAATCGTCATGCGAAGGGCAAAGGCTGTGAAAGAAGCATGTTCCCCCACATTCTGAGCAGGAGTTTGACTTCGATAATATTTTCAGCAGCGATGATGATGAGGAGGGATGGCAATTTTCTCCACAGAATCTTGTCAATGTTCCTCAGATGGGACAAGTGAGTTCATCTGGAGTTGCTGGTGCTCCAGCAGCAATTGCACATTGGAGGAAACTCTATCCGATGATCACCAATCACCCGGATGATATTATTCCGTGGCCCAGGTCAGTGAGGGTTGATGATGACTGGTATAAGCATGATGTTAGCCTCCGCCAACATTTGTGCATCCGGATCCTGCTGAAAATGATGTGGCAGAGCAGGAGGAGGTTTTACAGATAATGTCTGCCCAATTCCAAGGCTTCAAGATTTTTTGACCTTGAAAATATAGTTCAGCAACCATCAGAGGCACAGATGGATAATAATAATAATAATATAATTTGCGCTTTGTTATAACCTTGTCATGTTATGCAATATGAGAATCACATTTTCTATGATTTGCACAATGTAGAAAATCATATCACCAACACGAGGCAGCCGGCAAGATGATTACTCCATCATCACGTAATTTGTATTTCATGGAGCATGCGGCCTGCCTGCCACTTTCTTCTTTATCTCCACCACTTTCACCGGCATCACAATGTCTTCAAGAAGTCAAAAGCAGTCCAGGAAATTGAAGCACCGTCGCAGTTCAATTGAGGATGTTGACCTTGTAGAGGTCCGAGCAGAAAGTGGGTGATGCGAGCCGTGCAAGATACACCAAAGTTCAGTCCTGGGACAGGAAGGAGGAAGGGTACAGCTGTAGAAGGACCAAGCCGGACTTCAGCTGCGCCCTCCAGAAATCACATTATTGGTGATGATGACCTGGATCTGTTTGCTCCGGAACTACTGTCAACTAGGACACATAGTGGCAAGGTGAGTGAAGAATGATGGAGATGATGTTTGCTCACTTTTTCCACATTGTAGTCACAACAGGACCTGATGCGTTCATGGCTTCCCTATCAAGCTAAGTATCTGTCGGAGATATTGGGCATGGAGACACCTCCAGAGGATCGTGGATGCACTAATTGCAATGCACCTGATGGCCAGTTTCGTTGTCGAGACTGCTGGGGTGATCATTTTGAATGTCTCCGATGCTGCCTTGATTCACATCGCCAACAACCATTTCAATGTCTCGAATGCTGGGTTCAGAATCAGTTTGTCAAAATCTCTCTGGCTTCAATGGGGTTTGTCCTTCACCTGGGGCATGGCGGAAATGTATGTCCATGTGGATTTGGTGTCCAAGATGGATGGGAGGACATTAATCTTGGGGGAGATCTCGGGCCACAGCTGGAAGATGAAGGCGAGGTACATTTTTTGGGTGAAGATGTTGTAAATGATCGACAGGAGGGAGAGGTGGTTATTGCTTCATGTAATGGAGTCTATGTGCAAAAGGTGAAATGGTGTATATGTCCTGATGCAGCTCCTCGCCACATTCAGATGCCCTTTATCCTGCCAGTCAGCTTCGCCCAAGAACAGCTTTCACCTTTGATGTCCTCAAATATTTTAGTATAGATGCCATAGTTTGCAACACCTCGGCATCCAGGTTCTACACCAAGATGCGACGGTTAACCAATAATGCTGCACCCCAAACTGTTCCTGTGAGTAATCTTAGTTATGTGATAAGTATCTTGGAGGTAATCTGCCTGTTTTAGGACCGTTATAGGGAACTCATGAGGGTTTCCCACCAGTGGCAAGATATTACAGTTCAGAAATGGTTTGGCTTCGGCCATAACCTTCTTAAGAGCCCACATCGTGGGGAGTTGGCTTATTTTTGTCCAGCTTGCCCCCAACCATGTCTCAATTTATCTGAGAATTGGCAAGAAGATCCTGGAATGTGAGTGTGATAATAAATGATTTCAGAGCTCGGACTGAAATTCAAGATAAAGCGGTGTGTATCGTCACACAATAGCGGCAGATGGAAACTTCACCTTGGAGCATATGAAGATGTGTCGGCCTGAGAATGATGTGCCTCTCACTAATGGTCAAGGATTCATGGTCGATGATGTGGAGTATCGAGATCATTTGAAGTGCAGTAAAGAAACTATTGAGGTGCGTGCAATAAGATGAGTTGGAACTGCAATTGAGCTCTGGGAGATATCTTCAGAAATCTAGATGTGCAAATCACCACGCTGTGAATCAGGCCAATGCTAATCGCCATAATCTAGAGGCCACAGCAATGTGAATTTGAGAACATAGTGGGCTCATGCAGCCTGATGCATTGAGGTTAGGGTTGCACCAGAATTTGGGGGTTACTCGCCATCTCCAATGATGCAGTCCTCACTGTGAGACACGAGTAATACCATCAGGGATGTGGGTCAGTGGTTGACACCATCATTGGAGCCCTTTTTCTCTTCAGCAGCGGAGGTGCAAGAGCAGTTTATTTTCTGGTGTGGGGTCTCTGCTCAGGCATGGATGAGCGCTATGTAAATTGTGTAAGCTGCATATTGATGAGGTATGTGTTTACCATTGATGAGGTATTCACTGACCAGTCCAATATAGTCTTTCTCAGGAACATGCAAATGCTAGCATCAGGCTCTTATGTCAACTTCGCACTTGAGCCTACTTTCTGTAACTCGATTTGGAACAGTGAGTTTCAGTATGCTATTGAGGAGATGGAGACAATCTTGAGATGATCTCCTAAAGTGTGGGTGTCATTTTGCCAGCTTCATCCTCAATTCAAAGACTTTCCCATTTTCCCTATGGCAAGCATGCAATGCCTCTCATTTCTGGAACTGTGGAATCATGGTGTCCCTGTTATGGTCACATACATTGATTCGTTCTTTCAGGGCAAATGGGGTCCAGCCTATTTTATCAAATATGGAAACAGGTCAGTGGTAATTCAGGACTGCGAGACAGAGGTCACACGAAGCACCACAGTAGCCTTCTTCAGAGAATTCAGGACTTCTGGTCCAAGGCCCTCTGTATTGAAGCTTAAGGTATGCACTTCGTCCATTGTTGTGACATCTCACTGTTGTAGGACTGGCCACCTCAAAATTCATTCAGTGTCAAATTTCCAAAGTTATTCAAGTCCTTTATAGATGGTGTCCCTTGATCTTGCACGCTTAGATGGTGTCCTCAACCTCACTGTCCCTGAACGGGCTCGCTCCCAACTTAGGTACTACTTCAGTCATTAGTCACAACTACTAATTTCAATTGCTGTTCAGGCCTGAAAATGTACAATGTCTTCGCATCCTTAGAAGTATGGCATCAGACCTTATACAATATGTCAACACCCCGAAGAAGCTATCTTCATACCTGCAGGCTGCCCTCACCAGGTTTAACCATCCATAAGTTGGGTGTGATATTCTCTGACAGATGCCATCAAGATTGCATGCAATCTCATCTCAGTGAACAATGTGCACCAAACTCAGTGAGTAGGATCTGAACTTCCTAACCAGTGCTTGCAGAGCAGTTACGGAGATGATGTATTGTACTCCAGTTCTATACCACCCTCTGGTATGCGTGGAGATCACTGTCCATAATGTCTGGATTGCAGGTGGACAACACTGTCGCAGGTCATGATACTCTGACAGATTCCTGATTTTGTGCTGGAAGTGTTGATGCAGGGACTCTCCATTTTGATAGCCTTGTGAACATGGAGCCAGAATCCACCAGGCAGGTTTTCAATGATTCTTCACCCACTGGAGTTTGTCTCTTGCAGGCCAAGGTCATTTTGCGGCCCTTATCTCATCTTGAAGAAAAG